TAGTACTGAAGTTAACTTCTGATAGTATTCCCATTATAACAAATGGTATCAAATTCTCTCAATTGCTAAATTTCTTCTTTTGATGATTACAAAATTTTAAAATATTGAGTATCTTTTTCTGGTCTTTTTACAAACTGGTGGTGGTTAAATGTTACTACTTTTGGAATCCTTCGAATAAGCCATTGTAAGATGAGTACAACAAGTGCAACCTGCACACATCTTCCCCCTGCTGTGACTGGCTTGCGGGTTGGTGTTTGGCCTGCCAGCTGTAGCAAGGCTTTTGTAGATCTGCCTGCTGCTTCTTCTCTGCAAGCACTGGTTTGTCTTCTCTCTACCGATTACCCTGTCTCTCTCGTTGTTTATGTAACTCTTCTCCCTGTAATACTGGAGTCATCAGTAGGTTTCAGCAGCAGCTGATCTTCCTGATCCCACAAACCATGTGCCCAAAGCTACAGGATCTGAACAGCAAAAGTTAGTATTTCCATCCGAGGCATAGATCTTGCACAAGAGCCACATGCAGCTGAGTCACATGAGGGCAAGCTACCATGCTGATTTAGTGTCTTTGAAAACAGGCTGCACATAAGCTGCCTATGAGGTGTGGGCAGTCTGTGAGCAGTGCTTTGGCAACCTCTGGTATGTGTTTCAAAGCAGTTGAGAGGCCGACAGCCTCACAAGAAGCTGCCAGTGTTCATCTCACCTCTTTTCAGGCATCTAGTCACACTGAACTGCTTTCATGGTCAGCACAGAGTTCCAGGGCAAAACTGAGGTGACATCTGTAAATGTCATTATGGACATCTGTGCTTGAACTCAGTCAAGGTCTGTGCATTTCTCTCTAATGGGTGAAAAGGTAACCCAGAGTGACTGGCTTGCACGCTGCGTGGTGGATGCAATCAGATTAATACCTCCCCGAAAGCTTTAACTTCTTTAATTTTCAATATGTTTGTAACATGCTAAGAGTGACTTAAGCAGTCTTCATTTAGCTGTTCTTGCTATTTTGAATGAAGGCATTTGCATTTCTCCAATGTTAGAGTTAGATTATTTCACTTACATGTTTGCGGATCCTGGGAGAGTAAAATCTTGATCTGATAGTTAAAATTTCAAGGTAATATGGTAAAAGTGCCAATAATGAAAATTTCTAGATAGTTTTAACAGTTTCATTTTTGCAAGCTAAGTAAAGCACAAGTATGTGACAATTTAATGGAGATGCATTAAATCAAAAGCAATACAGAACGAATTTAATAATGAATGTGCATAGCTGTATTTTGTTTACATTTGTCTAGCAGTTAGTGCTTTAATTGAGTCCTTAACTGTTTGGAAAAGAATTGATGATGTTACATTAATGTGTTTAAAGAATACTTTCTGTCTCCTGCTTTTTGCACAGAGAACAGTGACAGTTTTTTTGTGGTGAAAGCTGTTAAGTCTGTAAGTTTTTATATAAGTGAATATTAGTGTTCTAGTTAGAGTTGTTTTGATTGTACAGCACTTAGACAATAGTACTGTAATTTGGAAAAGTAGTGAGTTCCTGTTACAGTTTGATCACTTTTTCTAGAAATAGAAACTGTCTTAGCATGATAAGGAGTGGTTTCCAGTTTGGAAATTTAAAACCTTAAATTATTTGAACCTTTAGTCTTTTTGTATCTGTAGAGTTTATTTTAGGTTTTCAATTTCGTGAGTAAATTCTTTTGGTGGATAAATTTCTAACTGTCACAAGTAATACTGGTATTGCAGTGTTAAGGCAATTAATTAAATTTAGAAAAAATTTAACTAAAATATTCCTAAACCAGTTACAACCAGTTCTTTGTAAGATGTTAAAACTTCCTTTAAGAGGTTATCCGTATTTGTTACGCATCATGCAACTTGCATACTGCTCCTTCTATTCTTTCTTTAATTTCTGTGAGAAAGCTCATAATTTGTAACAGGAAATGTAATGGAGTTATAGGAAATATACAAAGAATAGAACCTCTGTGCAATACAATGTAAGGAAGATTTTTGGGAAGGGCTGGATACATATGCGGAATTTTACGCGTTCCTTCTGAATACAAGAGCAACATAGGAAGATCTGTAAGACTTGGTGTGTTTTCAAACAGGCAAGACAGTGTGAAAGACTAGTTTCTTTACTTTAATCCCAGAATATCCGAACATTTTGTTAATCAAATCGGAAAGTTGTGTGAATTTTCTCAGCACCGTGCTACTTTACCTCATCTGTTTTGGACATATCAGAGAAGGGATAAATGCAAGATTTATCCATATTGTCATATGAATATGAGACTTTAAAGAAAGATCTCAGGGTATGGAGATGTGATCTAGAAGGGTATGGAGAAAGGAGATTGGTCTTATGGGGAAGATCAAAAGTTTGCTTATATAGGTAATCTGTAAAATGGGTAGAATGACTGATAAGAACTTTGGTGAGATAAATTGATATGGTACAGATACAGTTTATCAGGATATACAGATCTTTTAGACCTTTCTACCATTTTTGTAAAGCCTTCCACAGTAGTTGTCTGAATCCCATGCTGCAAGTTAAGGCCATTATTCCTTGTCCTGCCACAAGCAGAGAGAGAGCATGTGTAGTGTGGGTTTTGTTGCTGGTTGGGATTTGGGGTTTTTTTTTGTCATGTTTTTTGATTTGATGATGGTATTGGGTTTTTTAATTTGATTGTGATTGGATTTTTTGTTGTTGGGTTTTTTTTGAGGGTTTGTTGGTTTTTTTTAACACCTTCCTGATTGAAAGAGTCTGGTAGGTTTTGAAGAGTATGTTATCTGCTTTTTTAATTCTTGAACAGGACAGGTGATCTAGGAAGGGAACAGGTGATCACAGAATATACTGACTTGAATGGGACCCATCAGGATCGTTGAGACCAACTCCTTTCCCTGTACAGGACAACCCCAAAAATTACACAACGTTCCCAAGAACATGGGCAAAATGCTTCTTGGACCTGTTCCAGTACCCATCCACCCTCTGGGTGAAAAGCCTTTTTCTAATATCCAACCTAAACCTCCCCTGACACAATTTCAGGCCATTCCCTTGGGTCCTCTCACTGGTCACCACAGAGAAGAGATCAGTGCCTGTCCCTCCTCTTCCCCTCATGAGGAAGTTGTAACTGCAGTGAGGTCTCCCCTCAGACTGCTGTTCTCCAGGCTGAACAGACCAAGTGACATCAGCTGCTTCTCATACATCTTTGCCTTTAGAGCCTTCATCGTGTTCGTGACCCTCCTCTGGTCACTGTCTAATAGCTTTATATCCTTCTTAAACTGTGGTGACCAAAATTGCCCCCTGCACTCGAGGTGAGGCCAGACCAGCCCAGAACAGAGCGAGACAATCACCCCCGTGGACTGGCTGTGGACGCTGTGCTTGGTGCGCCCCAGGGCACGGTGATAAGTGGCCCTGTAACAGACAGACCTGTGCTGTCAGAAGGGTGGGTTTGTGCTTTCAGCAGAAAACATAGCTTTAGAGTATTTTTAGTGAAACAGACCAATACAGATAAAGTTGGTATCTTTATGGGCTGTAGCTCTAAAGTTCTCTTTTTTTCTGTTTGTTGTTGTGTAGAGTTTTTCTCCTCTCTCTTCCTTTCTTGAATTTTGTTTTTATAGTAAGTTGCTTCATGAAAGATTGTACTTGTACATTTATAGAAATCAAAAAAGAGTTTTAAGTAATGTACTGTAGGAAAGGTTGCTGTCAAACATTTCATTTGTAAGATCTTTTGAGCTTGAAACTGTATTTCAAAACTCAGAAAGGAGGTGAAGCTGAAAGACAGCATTTTCATGATGGAAGCAGGGACATGCTTAATAGTGGAGAAACAACCTTAGTGTCATTTGAATGACACAATAACAAAAAAATTCTGGTTAGAGATGTGTTTATTAGTTGTGTGAGCTTAGTCTTCTCTTGTGTTTTACTGTTATTATTCTAGAGGTGAATTTGACCCATCAAGATTTATCATTTTGCGTTTACTCATGAATCTCTTTAATGTGTGTCTGTATACTGTGTCTGTAGTGGGTATGCTACTGGTATGCAATGTGACTGTCCTTCACAATTTTGACTCTAAGGATGCTCAGGTGACCAGGAGAAATGAAACACAAAGATCGATTTCACTAACATCATACTAAGACTCTCTGGCACTGTTCTGTGCTGACATCCTAGGAGTCATTCTCATCCTTTTAACAAGCCCTATTCCAAAAATTAAATCTGCAACTTTGTATTTCTTCAAACTAAATTTTCGCTTTCAGTTTTGCCAAATTATTATGTTGAGAAGTTTCTATTAACTGAAGTTGTATAATAATAAAAAATAAACAATTTTGGTGGCATTTCTTCTTAGCCATGCTAGAGGAAACAAGGAAACCACATAGCTAATTTTTTCATTATATTGATAAGGGCATAGATGCAGTTGTCAGTATGCAGAAAGAAAAGATCTGCAGCATTAGACTTATTTTACATGAGGGATCAAATTATTGTCTGGTATTATAGTTTATTTAAACCAGATAGAGTGACTGTGCGTATGTAAAGTGCTTCTTGAACTCTGTGCCTCAATACAGGCAGAGTATTAAGAGTGGCCTCTTAGGCTCCTCTCAAGTCTTAAAGCAGCAGTATTATACTGTAGCCCTGTGTTAGGCCAGATGGCATACAGCCCCTTGGAGTATTTATGCTGAGGTGAGTCCTCACTTTCAATTGCAATGGGACTGCTTTGAGGAAGAAACGCTGCCATGTCCAACCTCATCGGTGTGCAGCTTCTGTGCTCTACCTCAGACCAAGATTGGCAGAATTGAGTAGAGCTGCAAAGTGGGTTTCGGTGTCTTAATTTAAAATACCAAGTTCAACAAACCTTTACATATCAGATTAACACTTCTCTTCTTCTGATACTTGTCCTAACAAAAAAATTGTAGTACCAACTGTGATTATGCAGCGGAACATGTATTGATAGCACTGCATTCTTTTAAAAATTATTGTTTGGTAGTTAGGAATAAAAGCAGAAAGAACTCCAATTTTTTTTTCCTTTGATTTTCAGATGGTGGTAAAAACATTCATGGATATGGACCAGGACTCAGAAGATGAGAAGCAGCAGTATCTCCCACTAGCCTTGCACCTTGCATCTGAATTCTTCCTCAGGAATCCCAATAAAGATGTGCGCCTCCTTGTAGCATGTTGCTTGGCTGATATCTTTCGTATCTATGCTCCTGAAGCTCCATATACTTCCCATGACAAACTTAAGGTAAAAATGCTTTACAAAATAAAGGCTTTCTCCTTACCCCATTCTCTTACTGAGGAAAATCAAAACCACATTCCCCTTCCTCCCCCCCAAAATGAAACCAACCAACCAACTCCCCTCAAAAAACCCCCAAACAATAACAACAAAAAAAACCCCAGAAAAATAAACCAAAAAAATTGGGTTTACTCCCATTTATACTGATGTTCAATTTTATTAAAGACATGTTGCTTTAATCCTGTGAGTCAGTGTAATAATTAAGGGCTAGACATGTAAAGGAACACTGGATGATATGACCAGTGTCTGTGTTGGTGATAGCTTTCTGTCAGTGCCTAAAAAAAACAATTTAATGTTCTCATATCATGAGTTTGAAAATATGGGTAAATGTCACTACTAAATGGTTGTATTTTTTTTTTGACAGGACATATTCTTGTTTATTACAAGACAATTGAAAGGCTTGGAGGACACAAAGAGCCCTCAATTTAACAGATACTTTTACTTGTTAGAGGTAACTCAGTAGTTGTAACTTTCAGTAGCTGGCCTTTGCTCTGCAATCCTAAGAAGTGTCATCAGTATTTTTTCCAGTAATTTTTCCGGATGTGCCAGTATGCCTGGGAAATTTATTCTGTAAATCACACCAGTCTCATTGAAGTTCAATGCATTGCTTCTTTTAGTAGTTATAATTCTGTTTGCATTTACTAAGTTCATTAGCCTGCAGTTGAGGACATGTTGAAATGATTGTTGTTTATTAACATTTAGCCTTTATCTTACAAATGTATACACTGTTTTTTGTATCAAGAGAGAAAATTTCAAATGCTGATTAAAATGCAGGTGTGCTTATATTGATGATGGGAGAAGAGATATAAGATTTTTGCTTTAAAAATGTTGCAAAACAGTACTCTTGACAAGAACGGGGGGAGGGTTCAGTGTGCATTTAGAAATAGTATCTTGTTTGTAAATCTTTTATTGATACATAAAATTGTCATATGAAGAAAAAAGTCTAGAAATAGGAACTTAATATATTAACAATTTTTGTCAATCAGGTTTTATACATAAGAAATTAGATTATTCTATATGTAATTTTTTCTGGATATATCTGGCAAAGCCCCTTTGTATTAGGAGTTCTTTATATGCAAATCAAATACCCAGTCTCTTCCCCAAAGGGAATATTGTATATTTTTTTTCCTTGAATAGAAAAAAACTGTAACTAGCATGATTATATTTATGTGACTTAATATGAAGTTGTAATAGCCTGAATATCTTATTTTTTGTTTTAGAATTTAGCTTGGGTTAAATCTTACAACATCTGCTTTGAGTTGGAAGATTGCAATGAAATTTTTATTCAGCTTTTTAGGACTCTTTTTTCAGTTATCAAGTAAGTTGAATTACTTCCATTATTTTAAATGGTCAAAATATCATCAATTTTGGGGGTAGACTGAATCCTGTCTTAGGCTACAGATAAATATGTCTGAACAGAACAAGTCTTTATTTGTCCAAACAAAGAGATACAAGGAAAGCAAATGAGTGTGAATTACGGTATGGAGGGGTGTACATCTGAAAATAGATGTGTTTTAAAATTTATTGTCCATGTTATAACTATACTTCATTCTGATTCATTTATCTACATTTTTACTTTTGTGGCTGTGATTGTCTTTTTTATTTTGATTCACTTAAAGCAGAACTAGGTTGTTCTAGGTTTTTTAACCTTCCTGTAAGAGAAGAAAGGCACATAAAATGGTTTTGAGTTTTGAGACGTGGAGAGTGTAAGGGAAGGCAAGCTGGACAGTGTTAGACATTGTTTCTTGACCGTACTGTTAATATTTGTCAGGGTCTGAAAATTTAGTGTTGATAATATTCTTTATGATCTTAGTAATAGCCACAACCAGAAGGTACAAATGCATATGCTGGATTTGATGAGTTCTATCATCATGGAAGGCGATGGAGTAACTCAGGAGCTGCTGGACTCGATTTTGATTAACCTCATTCCTGCACACAAGGTCTGCAAAATAAAATATTATAGTAGTATACCATTATAACAACATTAATTTTTATTGCCTTTTGCATGTTGTTTATCTCTTCACGCACTTAAGCTATCAGAACTGTTTTATTTTCCCCCGGTCTTGGAAAAGTTGATTGAAAATTTCCTTTGGGAATTATTTGGTGCTGTTCATTAACTGTGTCTAGATTATTCGTTATCAAGAGATTGTGCCTACTTGCTGCCTCAGGATCTCTGTACTGAAATAGTGTTTTCAAGTAAATGCAATAGGAAAACATTATATCTTAAGGATAGTACGTTGTCAGTTGTTTTGCTTTTTGGATTTGTTGCAGGGTTTATGATTGACAAGATGTGAAGTATTTTTTAATTAAAAAAAAGGAAAAAGAAATACTTCCCCAAGGCTTCTGTGGTGTCTTGCTGCTTGCCAGTCAGCTTGCTCCCCTCAGCTTGCCAGTCAGACTTCCCTCCACCTCCCTAGTTGTGCTTCCCACCCCTTCCATGGGCTTTACCTGCTTAACTCACTTATAAGGGACCAAGTGACACACACACACGTACACACATCTCCTTCCTAGAGGAAATTTATATGAGCTCCTCCTCGAAGAGTAGGGTAGGTCACTGGACCTGCAGCTGAGCTTTTGAAGTACCTTTATTGTAATGCCAAAATAAATTTGAAAGGAGAGTGAACACAACTCCATTAGCTGTGAAATAAGGGAAAATGAGTGCAGGCTGGTGTTGCCTTGCATCAACCAAGAAAATTTCCTTGCTAAAACACTTGTTCTTCTTAATGAAAATTGTATGGAGTACAGGAAGTTTCACTTATTAGTTAGAGTAAATGAACTGTGCTCTGATTACCAAGTGTGTTTTTCTGTTTGTTCATTTATTAATTTAAAATAATGACAAAATTAAGGCAGCTCCATCTATGATTACATAATTAAAGTTAAATTAGGAGATAAAAGTTAAGTTAGCAGGAATTATTCATTTAGTTACTTAAAGAGGGAGAATTCATGGGAATGCATTACACAGGAGTGTCTAAGCTGTGGCCATTGTCATTTACCTGTGAAATTCTATTGTCTGAGAGAGTTTGCATTCCTTCTGTCATGACCATGAGACAGAAATACCATTCTGTCAAGTCATTGACAGCAATGAGGTAATGTCTTATTAAAACTGCTAACAGAGAGGCCTCTTATAATAATAGAGTCCTTTTGAAAATACACTGCACTTTGTAAGTTGTTTCTAATCAATTATAGGCAGTTGATATCAGGAATGGAATAGAGGAGTGGTGCTGTGTGTGTCAGGTGCTGGGTGATGCTGTTGGCAGTGGTGGGCATTGCTCTGACAATACAAAGACCTGGTAAACCTTGTACAACAGAACAGTGTGTTGTGACTACTTGGTTTAGGCAAAGTAAAAGTAAATATGATCCTTCAGCATTAACATTGTTAGCTTAATCGTATAGTTCTGCCTAATGAAGGAAATGCTTAAGCAAGGCTCTGATAAAGAGGGAGGTAAACTTGGTGTAAATATTGGGTTTTACTGCACATTCACTGCCTCTTAGAGGACTGGTGCCAGTCCTTACCAACTCTTGGTCATGACTGAGCAAATAATATCCTGTAGTCAGTGCTCAGTATTGTACTTTGGTCAGTATTTTGGTCCGGTTTAATTTGTTTGTTTCCTGTAACAGCAGAACTTAAACTACTGTTTTACCATGGTAATTTAAAAAAAAAAACAACCAGAAAGTTCTTCTGTCTGATCTGCCTAGCAGAGTTTGACTGTGGTAATTATGTTCTCCTTTCATGAACAGATCTCCTAGGAAATTCTGTGATTATGTTGTTTGTCCTTAGGTATGTAAATCAGAAGCCCCGTAGTTTGAAAAACTTATTTTCTTGTAGAACACATACAATAGCAATACTTTCAGGTCTGTGCAAAGCAGTCAAATACCAGTCATTCTCTGCTATGACATAATAAAACTAACAGTGTGGCAAGAAATAGTGGAAGTTTGTCTTTGTAAAGAAGCTGAAATAATGTGTTTTGGATAATGTAGTCTGTTCCTTTTTTTTTTTTAATTAGACATGAAGTAGCATCTACCTCAGCATCTAAATTATATTCATTTGTACATCCATTATCAATAAAGTGATGGTGGTGTACATTGTTCTCTGTGTGTGCTATTGTGATTCTCCTCTAGTGAATCCAGATTTTCAATAGCAGTATCATAAGTCACATTTTGCTCAGGTTACTTATGGCATCAGACTGTAGTCCTTTTTATTAACTTTAAAAGCAGTACTATTTAGTGACTATTTTTCTTCACATTCTTACTATCAAGGTTATTCCTTAAAAACATATTCGTGTCTTCATATATTTTATGCGCTTAAAATCAGTAACTTTTTCTGCATCCTCTACAGCAGGGCTAGTCCAGTCCTTCAGGGTTTGATTTCCCTAACAGATGAATTTTTTTTTTATTATTTATTAATAGTTGTTTATTTCATCAGTAGATATATTACTTTTCTAGGCTGTTTTGTTGTTTGGTTCTTTGGTACTGTGAGAGGTTTTTGTGTGTATGTATTTGGGTTGCTGGTTTGTTTGTGTGGAAATCTTTGAAGCTGTGTTGAAAATCTAAAGAAAGTATGTTTTCTGTATGAGGTTGGCAGTCCTTTAGTTTAATACTGGCATACCTGCCAAAAAGATTTTTGTCATGGTCTGGTTTGGAAAGAAAGTGTTGGGATTATTATTTATTTATTTATTTATTTATTTAAAATTTGAGGTGAGTTGATACATATATGTCTGTCTTCTGTAATGAGACATCAGTTAAGTGCTTTGGTGACTGAGAATGTACTTATTTGAGCCTTTGGCCATTTGTTTCTCTTTACTATCAGTTGAGGAACTGTCTTTCAGTTTGTCATCTCATTAGTTAAAAGTACACGAGCGAGTCGTTCTCAATGTGGACTTGCCAAATACCATCTTCCCAAGAATCAGTCATCCCTAGGCTTTTCCTGCATTTTTTCTGCAGTGATTTGTAATTTTCAGGGCAATCAGCTAATCCACCTTTCTTTTTTTGCCCCCTCCAAGCATCATTAATCCCTAGATGATATGAGATGCTGCATATTGGATTTGTGCAGACTTGGACAGTCAGATTTTTCAGATGTGCAGTTACATTCCTTATCTTGCTGAAGAGTAATGAAAACGATGTTCAGATTTGTCATGTTGCAATCAAATGTTTACTTGGAAAGTTTGCAGCTAACTCTGCCCAAGTGTAAGTGCTTTCTGTGGGCTCACTGTGGGCTGTCCCAGAGCATATGGTACAGGCCATGGAGCAATCAGTGCACAGTTTTACCCTCTAGACAAGGCTGAACTTTGCTGCAGGGTGTACCTCTTATGGGTATGTGAGGGAGAAACAAAACTACATTTAAATATTAAGTTCGAGTTGTTCATTTTTCAGTGGCTAAGTTTGGTGCACATTAATTTTCAAAGTATGGTAATGTTTCTTCAAAATTTTTAATGCTGTTGCATGTGAAAACTTTTTATAGATATGAATGCAATGCTAAAGGTGACAGGTGATAAAGTCTTAATGTGGAGGAAGTGATGGTTTTGGGTTAGATTTCTTAAGTGTGTGGAAAACTAGTTTTACGATTTCTCTGTGTATGTAGTTGTGGAATTAATGTAACTTAATTTGGATAGCTTTGAAAACAAATAGATTGGTGGGGAAACATACCTTTCTAAAGTCATGGGGTTTTAAGGTTGGGAGGGAAAAGTAAAGTCATCTGAAATAGTTTGTCTCTATAAAATTTTATTATGTTTTCTTTATTTCAGAACCTTAATAAACAAGCATTTGATCTTGCAAAAGTCCTGTTGAAAAGGACCGTCCAGACCATTGAACCTTGTATTGCCAATGTATGTAAATTAGTTAATCCACATTACCTACAAGTAGCAAATATTCTTGTTACTGTCTTGATTTATTGCAAATTTGGTGGGATTCTTTCCCTTGTAAATATTGTTTATAAAAGCCACATTTTGTAATGCAGCTACAAGAATACCATTTTCCAAATAGGGTATTGTTAACGTGGTTGTTAAGTATGTGGGATGTATCAAATAAGTGAAGAGGAAATTAATTTTTGCCCATCTCAGTCTAAAGTTAAGCCTAAATTTAGGCTGTGAAAATAGATGACCACCAAAACTCCTGTTACAACAAAAGGAATTGCTAGTACTTTGTATGTCCAGTAACCAGACAGCCAAATTTCATACCAAGCTTTAGGATGAAGCATTTCAAACTGCCAGCTCTTTGCTAGAGGTTTTTTTTTCCCTCCTAAACTTGCTGTAGTCATAAAGACTGAAAGAATTATGTTTTTCACTTCTACTGTAATTCTTCTTGTTGAATGTCAGAGTTGTGCGTTCTGCCTTTTAGTACAGCTACTGCAGTCTGTGGGGAATGTGGTCTGATCCATTCTGTTGCCTTTCCTTGGTGCCAAAGCCAATAGATTTCGTAAAAGTCAGAATAGTTTAAAAAGGAAATTAGACAAATTCATAAAAGATTAATCAGTAAGTATTTAAAAGTGAGACCAGGAGTCTCACTAACAAGTACCACTTTCCAATTCCCCTCCTTCTTTAAGCTTTTTAATTAGTCATAACTGGAAACAGGATAGTACATAGAGTAATGTTTGAGTTGATTTAATACTGTTCTTCTTACTTTCTTTTTCAAGTGTGTAATAGCTTTGTAGCATTTGCACTGCTCAAATAATATTAACCCACAGAATCTAATAGAAAGTATATAAAGTATATTAAAATTTAACAAATCCAAAAGAAATAGTTCATATTTTAGCCTACTTTCAGTTTCTTTCTGTTAGATCACTAACAACCTTCATACATTACTATCAAATATCACAAAACATAACATAAAGCCATCTGACGTTCTTTAAAAAGGATTTGAGGTGAAGAAGCTTCATTTTCAGTATTTGATGATCTTCAATTGGATTGGTTTTAAATTACAAGAAAATTAAAAATAAGATACTAATTTTTTTCTAAATGTCTACTGGATGAATATGCATTTTAAATTAATTCTTTTATTACCTATTTATTTTACTTGGGAGATGGTTATTGATATTTTTAAATTATCAAATTATCATGAATTAAACTGTCTTGACTGAAGTATTAGAACTGAACTGAGAAGGATGTTTGTAATTTGCCTGAGCCTAAATTGTTAAGGGTGAAATGCTTTGATTTAATGAAGACATTGTGCATTGAGTATCTTCCATTACTATAAAAATATTAATGATACTATGTTAAAATAACTTCTAAAAATAGTTTTTGCTTTAATGAGGGACAGTCTGCCAAATAATAATGTTTGTGTTCTAGTTTTTTAATCAGGTTCTGGTACTGGGGAAGTCTTCAGTAAGTGACTTATCAGAACATGTGTTTGACTTGATACAAGAGCTTTTTGCCATAGATCCTCACTTACTGCTGTCTGTCATGCCACAGCTTGAATTCAAGCTGAAGGTAGGTTACAATGTAGCTTTTGACAAGCAGTAAAATTTCTGGGCATATTAAGAGTGCAGAGATGTAGATTTAATAAGTGTTCTACTGGAGGGATAAAAAGTTTATATTTATTGCTTTACTTGAAAGATAAATGTAATATTGAAGAAAGGATACTGGCAATTTATGTATATTTATACATACATATATAATTATATGCTTTTTTTTGCTTGCAAACATATTATGCACACAAAATATATACTCATTATAATGATAACAGAGTCTAATGCAAAAGTTCTATGTACTCAATCTTTCGAATTCACCTGAAATTTATGAAGTAATTAGGCTGTAGTTGGCTTACGTCGTGGAATGCCAATCTGTCAGCTTCAGTATTGATTTGCAGAACTTTGTTTTATGAAATGTTTTAGTAATAGAGGAATTATTTCCTAATATTTTCTGAGATTTGTCATAATCGGCTAGTAAGTCAGCTGACTTCTTTTGAATCCTTGAAAATAGTTAATTTATCCTGATTTGGAAATTTGTGTGGCTTTTAATTATAAAGCTGTTTGTCTTTCATAAAATTGTAAGTGAATGAGAGAGGTAATTTTGTATGTGTGCATGTACCTGTAGGCTATGGTAGCAACAAACAAAAGTAACCAAGAAATAGGTGTTTGATGAAATGATGTATCTCTTTTATTATTGCAGATCTGTTTATAACATCTTAATTGATGTCTTTTCCACGCACATGTGGAAACATTCTTAAAGAATGTTTTACAACAAAAATGTCATGAATTGTTGAAATTGCCAAAGATATGTTATTCAGACTACTGTGTATGGGTTTTTATTCCCAAAAGAGAAGGAATTTTCAAAGCACAGCCACATATTCAGTGTCTATAATATGTTAACTTAATAGGTATTTGTATATTTTCACTCATATTAATCTAGTATTCTAATTAGAGAGACTGAGGATTATCAGAAATTATTTCAAACTCAGTTTTTAATCTGTTACAAGAACAGAAAGAAAAGGAAGCCAGAAATTATTATTAAGATATTATGGATAATGATTTACAGTTTCTTTTTCATGTTTTGATTTTTAGAGCAATGATGGAGAAGAGCGTTTGGCTGTTGTTCGACTTTTGGCTAAACTCTTTGGCTCCAAAGATTCTGATCTGGCCACGCAAAATCGACCTCTTTGGCAGTGCTTTCTTGGGCGGTAAGAGAAACGGGATAGAATTCTAAATTTCTGTTCTTTTTGTTCCGAATTTTCTTTTAGTATTGCATTTGTCATTGGTTTTTTTAGAGGATATAACTGTTTGTTTATATTTGAACAAGTTACTTTGTTAAATCTTGAAAACAGAGAATTGCACACAGTTACATTTTGGAATGAAGAAGCCTGAAGAACTGCTGCTATTTTGCTGTCAGCTACAAGCATATAGGTTAGACAGTACATTACACACATGGCAGAAATTACACAATAGCTATGCCAGCATTGTCTGAAATTTCATACTTTTCATCTGTATCTGCAACTGTATCTCTTTTGTTTGGCATTTACCTTTTTGAGTGAAGAGAGGCTTCCTTTTCCGTAAATATAGAAGTTTATAATTTTTAAAAAAGTGAATGCTTTCAAGTGGTACATATTACATGACAGTTTACATTTTTATAATTTTGCCTGTGTGTGTATATATGCACACACAATACTGACTGTGTATGGAGAATTGTGTTCAAAAGTCAGTGGACAAAAATCTGTTAGTTCAACGTTGCCTCCACATACAGCATATTCATGCTTTAATTTTAGTCCTGACTTAATTGCACAAGAAATAACAAAAATTTGTATGAGGAACATTTGTATTATGGAGATAAATTCAGAACCTTTATATTCTGTTATTTTGTCACACAGAAGTATTCTAATAGTTAACAGAACATACTATCAACGCATGTTACTACATAGAGAATAATCATGATTTGAAAGGCTAATTAAAAATTAACATTCATCATCTTCTATCCCTCTAGGTTCAATGATATCCATGTCCCTGTGAGATTAGAGAGTGTGAAATTCGCCAGTCATTGTTTAATGAACCATCCAGACTTAGCAAAAGACCTCACTGGTGAGATGCTCATGCAGGGGTTTAGAATAATTGACGAAATGAGCAAGGAAGTGTATAATTATTTTTGTACGTAAAAGCGTGGTTCTAAAATGTATCAAGTCTGATGCTTGATGCTGGATTGAAGAGCTAACACTGAGTAATTGATTTCTGCTGAAGACAAGTGCTAGTTATAGTAAGAGAGGAGTGTGTGACTTTATATGGACTTTGTGTGTTTGTGTTTAAGAAGCTATCCATTGCAGAATGAATTTTAAAGTAATTTGAAGTTCTAAAGAAACTTTTGGCAAGTCAAAGCAAATATTGGTGCAACATCTTGACTTATTTTCAAGAACAGTCACTGTGTTCCCCAGTACTCTCCCACTGAGTTCAGAAAATGCTGTTTTGCTGATCTAAACAATGAAGTGTCTTCCTTCACTACAGCGTTATTTTAACTATGAGCAGATTTTCAGGCTTCACTGAAAAACTGTTCTTTTTTTGATGCAAGCTATCCTACAGCAATTGTTGGTATTTTTCATTTATTATTTAACTTTTTAGCTCTTTGGGAATGAGAATTTCTTCTCGTCTTATTTCTTCTCATTCCCTCACCCCCCTTTATTTTCAATATATTCTAATCAGCTTTTTTTTTCACTTTCACTTTCATTTGCTTGTTGCAAATGAGGTTATCATAAAAACTATTCACTTTTGTATTCTTTTGATATTTACAGTTATCTAATTGTTTTATATTTAACATAGAAAACATTGGAACAGATACTTCCTGTGGGTAGCTATAAGTTTAATAGATTACATGGTTGTGATATATGACTGACATATAATTGTTTTAACATTATTAATAAATCAGAATATGTCACACCTACATAAATAAGCCAAGCTTTTCATTGTTTCTGATCGTAACAGAATATTTGAAGGTTAGATCACATGACCCAGAAGAAG